AAAAAAAAAAAAAAAAAAAACAAAACAGTTGTGGCTAAGATTACAAAGCAAAAGTGGTGGCACAGGAATACAAGTTTGCCAAACAGAAAGGACCCAGGGCAGAACGCGGGGTTTCAGAGACGGAGGTCGACTGGTGCCACCTGGTGGTGGGAGAGTAGCTCTGCATGGCTTTAACTCAAAACACGGACTCCATATGATGAGCGCTCTGAGATCTCTCTTTTTTGGGGGGGGGGTACCAGGGATGAACTCAGGTCCTCGTGCTTGCGTGGCAGGTGCTGGAACCACTGAGGCAAATCCCCGGCCCTCACATTCTGCGATTTTGAGCTTGACAATCTCTTTAAAATCACTAAGTTCAAACCCCTTATTTTAACCAGCCATAGTACACTCAAGAGGCTGAAGCAGGAAGACTGCTGTGAGTTCGAGGCCAGTATGGGCTACACAGTGAATTCAAGATTGACTTGAACTACACAGCAAGACCCTGTTTAAAAAAAAAAAATCACAATTGTGCCAAGATTCGGGACTTACAACTTAGCCAAAATCATGGAGCTGTTCAGAGGTGGGGCTGAGACTAGAACCAAGTCTCCCAGCTTCCAGGTAAACTCAACTCTACCATGATTGATCCATCCATTTTGTCTGACTATAAATTTTCTTTCCTTCTTTCTTCCTTTCTTTCTTTCATCTTCCAGCCTTTTCCTCTGTATTTTCTCTTTACTTCTTAAAAATATTGACGTAATTTCAGAATTATACAAAACATGCAAGAATAATACAAAAACTTCCTCTACGGCAGCCTTCACTGCATCACCAAATATTAATTTTGCATTGTATTTGCTAGACAAGTGCTCTACCACTGAGCTATGCCTCTAGCCCAGAAAACAATCTTTTAGCAATCACACTGCTAAAATTCTGACAACAGGGGCTGGAGTAGAACTCAGTGGCAGAACCCTAGGTTTCCCCCACAGCATGCAAAACCAAATACAATAGTCTGACAACAGCACCCTGCTTTGATAAAGGTGGTGAAACTGGCACTCTCAATACACTGTTACAAGAGCATTTCTTCCACTGTTCACAGTAATCCCAGCCCTCAGGAGGCTGAGGCCAGCCTGGGCTACGCAGTGAGTTCAAGGCCAGCCTGAACTACATAGAGAGGCCCTGTCTCAAAAAACAAAAACAAACCAACAAAAAGAATATTCCTAGGGCCAGGGGTGTAGCTCAGTGACATCATGCCTGCTTGGCAGGAACAAGGTCTTGAGTCTGATCCCTGGTACTGGAATAAAAAAAAAATTTTTTTAAATTCAGAACAAAGACAAAAAAACCCTTTTTAAAAGAGTATTTCCTCCAAGGAAGCAGTCCGGCCTCAAAGTTACAAAAGCTCTTCTTTCCCCTTCGGTGCCATTAGAGCTTGGATTTGAAATGTCCCCCCAAACTCATATGCTAAAGAAAGGCTGATTGCCAGCTGAGGGGCTCGAGGGGAAGAGATCGGATGATGAGGGCTCTAACTTCATGAAGCAGATTAATCCACTGATGAGATTCAGTGTAATGGCATCACTGGATGGTGAGTTATTGGGAGGTGACAGGAATAAGAAATGGAGCCTCGGTAAAGGAGTAGATCTTGGAGATGTGACCTTGGGGACTAAATCTGGTCCCCAGCGCCTTCTTCTCTGGCTCTTTTCTTCTTTGTTTGCTTCTCAGCTGCCAAGAGGTGAGCAGTTTTCCCTAGGGTAAGCCTCCGCCATAGTGTTCCTGGATCACCTCAGGCCTGACAGCAAAGCAGCTGGCCGGCCATAGACTGAAACCCTGAAACCAGGAGCCAAAGCAAATCTTTTATCCTCTAAATTGTTTTTTTCAGGTATTTGGTCACAGTCATAAAAAGGTAATGAACAACAACAAACAAACAAACAAAAAAAAAAACACAAAAAGAAGCTGGATGTGGTGGCACATGCCTGTAATCCCAGCACTCGGGAGGCTGAGGCAGGAGGATCACTGTTAGTTTGAAACCAGCCTGGGCTACATAGTGAGTTCCAGGTCAGTCTCAACTACATAGTGAGACCCTGTCTCAAAAAACCAAAAAACAAAACAAAACAAAAAAAAGCTGATTAAAACAAGTGTATCTTGGAAGGGACACAAAGGAAACTGATGATTCTGGTTTCCTCCAAGTAGGGTACTGAAGGGCTAAAACAAAGGAATGTACATGAATAACATTTACATACCTAAAATGCTCATGAGGGCCAGGGATTTAGCTCAGAGATGCTGCCGCCTGCCTGGCAAGAGCAAGGTCCCAAGTTCAATCCCTGGTACCAAAAATAGTTAATTAATTAATTGATTAAATGCCCATGAGGGCTGGAGGTGTGGCTCAGTGGTGCAGCACTTGCCTAGCAGAGGCAAGGCCCTGGGTTCAATCCTTGGCACCACAAAAAAAAAGAAGAAGAAGAGGAGGAAGAATAAAAATTAAAAATACTAATGAGGAAAAGTGTGAAGAGACACAGATTTGTGTCTGCGTGGCCACGCCGAGGGGCCTGAGCTCACACCTGAGGCTGCTTCCGCCAGAGCATCTGCCAGTCCTGGGACCCCTGCAGAGCTGTGGCCACCAGAGCAGCATTTCCATCCCATGAGAATTTGCTCAGGCCCCACCGTGCGCAGACACTGATGGAAACAAGGCCGGGCCTGGTGGCGCATGCCTGTGACCCCAGCACTCACAAGGGCTGGGATTGGGATGGATGTGAGGAAACTGGGAAGGATGTGGCTGCAGATCAACAGATCGGATCAAGAAGGCCTCACTGAAGAGGGGGACTTTTGAGTAAAGACATAAGGAAGTAAAGAAGCAAAGTGAAAGCCTTCCACTCCGAGGGGTCAGCAAGCGCAAAGGCCCAGAGGCAGACAGACACCTGCCTGCTGTGCCGAGTGAGGAGCCTCGAGGCCTGCGGCTGGAGCTGAGGAACAGGTTGGTGTGTGGGGACCTCAGCTTCTACTCTGAAGGAGACACAGAGCTGCTGGGGGTTCTGAGCAGGGGTACAATAAGATCCACATCACATTTTAACAAGTCACTGGCTGCTGTGTGACCAACAGCTTAAAGGACGGCAAAGGGAGGAAGCAAGGAGACAGGGTAGGAGGTGACAGCCTTAATCCAGTGGGGATGATGGCAGCTTGGCCAAGGTGAGGACAGCAGGAGCAGTGGAAAGTACTCCGTACTGGATGTTTCGGAAACAGAATCGACCAAAGATGCTGATGGTTGAATACAGGGTATGAGAAAGAAAACACAGGCACGTGGCTCTGGTTTTAAATCTAAATGTGCAAGTGGAGGCATCAGGTGGGTCACTGGACACACAGACCTGCAGTTCCCAGGAAAGATCCAGGCTGACAGCAATTTGGGAGTGACAGATACCGGCAGCACTAGAAGCCACAAGGTTGAATGAGGTCACCAACAAGGTGAGTACAGATAGAGAAGCGCCCTGGGACATGAAGGAATCGCCATTTCAGATGCTCTAGCTACTCCTATCTCATGCAAGTGACTTTCCTTCTTTTCCAAGAATTCCAGCTACGTGATAATCCCATGACATTGAGGTCAACCTCGTGACCTGTTTCAGAAAGCATGGCCCTGTCGACAACCCAGGTGTAGAAGAATAGGGCTCTGTCTCTGCCCTGCAGGTCAGGCTGGACACCCAGTGATGCATTTGACATGATGCCACTCACCTTTCAGAGTAAGCTGAGACTTCTCAAAAGGGAGGGCTACTCCTGCCCGGCTGGAGCTGGCAGATGCCATGTCATCACCATGAAACTGCAAGATAAGCAGAGAAAAGGGTTTACATTACTTGAAGATGCCTGCAATCTCAGTACTTGGAAGGCCGAGGCAGGAGCATTTCCATGAGCTTGAGGCCAGCCTGGGTAACAATGAGTTTAAAGCCAGCCTGGACTACTAGTGAGACCCTGTCTCAAAAAAAAAAAAAAAAAAAAAAATAAGGGGGGGGTG